CTAGAGTTGGAAGGGATCCCCAAAGGCCATCCAGTCCAGCCCCCTGCTTCCTTCCTTCCCTTTTGACTTCCCTTCCTTCTCTCTTTCCTCCCTCCTTCCCTCTCTCCCTCTTTCTCCTTCCAGCCTTCCCTTCCTCTCTTTCATCCTTCCTTTCTTCTCTTTTTTTTCTCTTCGTCTTTCCCTTCCTTCCTTCCTTCCTTCCTTCCTTCCTTCCTTCCTTCCATCCATCACCGGGCAGCCAGTCCTCTGAGCAGGGCGTGCTAGCATGTGGTCCCCAAGTTAGATGGTTTGCCCGTGCCTGCTCTAGGATCACATCTCCACTCACTTAACCCTTTCAGTGGGATGTTCTGTAACCACATGTCCATTAGAACGGCATTTATTTACTACAACGGCGTTACATGCGATGCATTTCTATCTAATCCCTGCCGTCTTTCTTTCTTTCTCCCTTCCACCCTCCCAGCACGACACGTGTCCCGTGTGCCGCAAGAGCCTCAACGGGGAAGACTCCACGCGACAAGGCCCCGGCCTGGAGCCCTCTTCGGCCGGTGGCCCTTTCGGCAGTGCTGGACGCCTGGACGACCGGTGGACTTTCTAACGGGGGGGGGGATTTTAGGGGACCGCCTCTTTCCCGTAGTTCTCCGTTTGCGTGATGCAACCTCACAAAACCCAAGTAGCGAGAATAAGAGAGAGAGAGAGAGAGCGACGAGCGAAGGCATCCGAGATGGCCGCCTTCCCGGAAACCACTAACCCTCGCCGTCACCCTTTGCCGTTCCAAAAAATTCAACGAGAAGGAAGGAAGAGGTCGTTTCCTCAACATTTTCAGATCTTTCTTTCTCCCGTCTTCCAAAATCCGAAACGAGAAGTTGAGGAAAACCCATCGAAAAGATTCCCGTGAATCCGTGTCGCTCCTCCCGAAACGCAACGGGGATTTATTTACTCGTTCCGCCTCGACCGCGACGTACATCAGATTTTCTATTCCGTTTTCATCCGATGCGGCGACCGTTTCTTAACTCGCACTTCTAATTCCCCTTCGAGAAAGAAAACTCGCCAAGAACGGAAGGATTTTTGCAGGTAAACGACTCCCGACGAACTGTGAAGCGACGCGCCTCTAGTGAATCTATATATACATATATATTCTTCCTCTTGCTGCTGCCTCGTTTCTTCTTTGGTTTGTTTCCTCTTTGACCGCTTCTTTAAAGAGACTCCTTTCTGCTGCCTTGAAAAACGGACCAGATTTGATTCCAACCTCCAAAGACTACTAATATTAATATTATTATTATTGTTATTTTTGCAGGAAGTTCTCTCCCGCCGGTATTTAAAAACGAGAATGTCATTTGTCTGCTGTCATTAAAAAAACACACCCCTTTTTTGTGTCCCTTTTAAGTGCTTCCCACACCCCTTAACATTTTGCAATGTATTATTTTTCCCCCCTTTTGGGGTTTTAACTTCAGAATCATGTCTTAAAAGGGAGGATTTGGAGGTCAAAATGGCTCCCCCAAATCCCCGTAAATTGAAAGATAACCCGACATAAAGGATCATGACCCTGGAATCCAACCTTCCGTTGTCTTCTCTTTGCTGTCCGAAATAGAATAAAACTCTTTAATAATAAACACTCTGGAGAAATTGTTGGACGGGAAACGGGATTTTATTGGGAAACGTTTTCCCAAAGCGGTGCCGAGTTGCGCAGTTTGCCCCAAAAAACGAACGGGTCCAAATCCTCGCTTTCCTTTTGGGTCTCTAGCAAGAAAATCATGTCAGATGAGCATGAAAATACAAAGACGTTTTCTGTTATGATTCATGTATGAAGATGACACCGTCACACTGTTTCTTGAATGGGTCCGGAAGGAGATATATTTGAACAAAAATACAAAGACATTTTCTGTTATGATTCATGTATGAAGATGACACCGTCACACTGTTTCTTGAATGAGTCCGGAAAGAGATATATTTCAACGAAAATACAAAGACATTTTCTGTTATGATTCATGTATGAAGATGACACCATCACACTGTTTCTTGAATGAGTCCGGAAAGAGATGTATTTGAACGAAAATACAAAGACATTTTCTGTTAAGATTCATGTATGAAGATGACACCATCACACTGTTTCTTGAATGGGTCCGGAAAGAGATGTATTTGAACAAAAATACAAAGATATTTTCTGTTATGATTCTTGTATGAAGATGATACCGTCACACTGTTTCTTGAATGGGTCTGGAAGGAGATATATTTGAACAAAAATACAAAGACATTTTCTGTTATGATTCATGTATGAAGATGACACCGTCACACTGTTTCTTGAATGAGTCCGGAAAGAGATATGTTTGAACAAAAATACAAAGACATTTTCTGTTATGATTCACGTATGAAGATGACACTGTCACACTGTCCCTCAAATAATGTGTCCCGAATGAGATATATTTGAACGGAAACACAAAGATGACATTCTCTTTTATTATTTGTGTACAAAATTGGTTCCCAACCTCTCCAACATTAGTACCAAAATGGTTACGAATCAGTTTTTGGTCAACTTTAGACTCGGTTTGTTTATTTGGAGCGCTGATTCAGAAAACCGCATTGGATAGACCACATCAGCTCTAGTTTTCGATACCTAACATATGTCATCCAGTAGTCGCCATCTGTGGACCATATTTTAGTTCTTGTGGACCACTGGTGGTCTGCGGACCACAGGTTGGGAACCAGTGGCGTACAAGGACGACACAGTCACACTGTTCGCCAAAGTTTTGGGTCCAAACCTTAATAATAATAATAATATTTTTAAAAACTTTATTAATACCCCGCTCCATCTCCCCCAAGGGGACTCGGAGCGGCTTACATGAGGCCATTATTATTATTATTATTATTATTATTATTATTTCCATCCAAATAATATTTCATTCGGGACCCATTACTTTGAGGGACAGTGTGACAGTGTCATCTTCATAAATGAATCACAAACAAAAATGTCTTTGTATTTTCGTTCAAATATATATCTTTCAGGACCCATTCAAGAAAGTGTGACGGTGTCATCTTCATACATGAATCGTAACAGAAAATGTCTTTGTATTTTCGTTCAAATATATCTCTTTCAGGACCCATTCAAGAAAGTGTGATGGTGTCATCTTCATACATGAATCGTAACAGAAAATGTCTTTGTATTTTCATTCAAATATATCTCTTTCAGGACCCATTCAAGAAATAGTGTCATAGTGTCATCTTCATACATGAATCATAAAAGAAAATATGTTTCCATCCAAATAATATCTCATTCAGGACCCATTACTTTGAGGGACAGTGTGACAGTGTCATCTTCATACATGAATCATAAATGAAAATGTCTGTATTTTCATTCAAATATATCTCCTTCCGGACCCATTCAAGAAACAGTGTGACAGTGTCATCCGCATACATGAATCATAAAAGAAAATGTTTTTGTATTTCCATTCAAATATATCTCATTCGGGACCCATTACTTTGAGGGACAGTGTGATAGTGTCATCTTCATAAATGAATCATAACAGAGCGTGTCTTTGTATTTTCATTCAAATATATCTCCTTCCAGACCCATTCAAGAAACAGTGTGACGGTGTCATCTTCATACATGAATCCTAACAGAAAATGTCGTCTTTTTATTTCCATTCAAATATATCTCATTCAGGAACCATTACTTTGAGGGACAGTGTGATGGTGTTATCTGCATACATGAATCATAAATGAAAATGTCTGTATTTTCATTCAAATATATCTCCTTCCGGACCCATTCAAGAAACAGTGTGACAGTGTCATCCGCATACATGAATCATAAAAGAAAATGCTTTTGTATTTCCATTCAAATATATCTCATTCGGGACCTATCTTCATACCTGAATCATAACAGAAAATGTCTTTGTATTTTCGTTCAAATATATCTCTTTCCGGACCCATTCAAGAAACAGTGTGACAGTGTCATCTTCATACATGAATCATAACAGAAAATGTTTTTGTATTTCCATTCAAATATATCTCATTCGGGACCCATTATTTCAAGGGACAGTGTGACAGTGTCATCTTCATACATGAATCATAAAATAAAATGTCTTTATTTTTCCATCCAAGAATATCTCATTCAGGACCCATTACTTTGAGGGACAGTGTGACAGTATCATCTTCATACATAAATCAAAAGAAAATGTCTTTGTGTTTCCATTCAAATATATCTCATTCAGGACCCATTACTTCAAGTAATAGTGTGACTGTGTCATCTTCATACATGAATCATAAAAGAAAATGTCATCTTTGTGTTTCTGTCCAAATTCATCTCAATCAGGACCCATTATTTTGAGGGACACTGTGACAGTGTCATCTTCATACATGAATCATAACAACAATTATGTTCCTGATACAACCCGATTGTTCCTTTTGAGTTTCAACCAAAATACGATACGGAATTTCAGCCGGTCTCATAATTGTGGACACTCTTTTTTCAGCCCCTCCTATTAGGACCCGCCATCATATATTGTTATTCCACATTTGATTATTTAATACAGGCCGTCCCTGAGTTACAAACATCCAACTGACAAACAACCCATAGTTAAGAACGGCCTAAGTTAGTAGGAAGTGAGAGGAATCTTCCCCTTGGAAGCTACAAAATATATACTTTCGCTGGAATTACACTTTTAAAAGTACCTGTTCTGACTTACACACAAATTCAACTTAAGAACGAACGTATAGAACAGATCTTATTCATCACTTGGGGACGGCCTGTATATAGTTTGCTATAGCGTGGGCCAAACCCTATATATAGCCGGCGTCTCGATACAATTTGGTCCCGTACCAAACTCGATCCGTTGATATTTACGAAATCTATTGGATTGTAATCTTATCGTTCTCATTAAAAAATAACGTTTGATATAAGGATGTTTTGGTCGAGAGCGACCCTCGACGAGCCCTCGTTTTGTTCGTCCTTCTTGCAAACAATTCAAGCAGAAATCAAGTTTTCAAATCATTTTTCAAAAGGTTCTATTTGTACAAACTGGGATTCGGCCCAATTTTCGTATCTTTCCGAAAGCATCGGAACTGGGGGAAGGAACGCCTCGAGAATGGGATCGAAAGAGGGCCGTCGTTCAGGTTTCCGCTCGTACATGGACAGAAAAGTCTTCGCTCTCATCCGCCGCTATTCTTCCTCGTTCTCCTCTTCCCCGGGTTTTTTGTGTGCAAAAAATCCAAGCTGTGGAGTATGAAAAAATGAGAATTTAAGAGACATACCAAAAGACATTGGTGTGTAATAGAGATACAAGAAGAGCTGATTTACTTTACTGAAATGTTACGAAACTTTACCCTCAATAGAAAATATTAAGGTAAACGTAAAGCCTCAAAGAACTAGATAGAAGTCAGTAGAATTTTTTTCTTTTCTCATTTTTCAATTTTTGGCATAAGTTTTTTTCACTTTTTTTCTTTTCTTTTTTTTTCAATTTTTGGCATTGGCTTTTTTTCACTTTTTTCTTCTCTTTTTTCAATTTTTGGCATAAGCTTTTTTCATTTTTTCTTCTCTTTTTTCAATTTTTGGCACAAGCTTTTTTCACTTTTTTCTTTCTCTTTTTTTCAATTTTTGGCACAAGCTTTTTTCACTTTTTCCTTTTCTTTTTTTCAATTTTTGGCATAAGCTTTTTCACTTTTTCCTTTTCTTTTTTTCAATTTTTGGCATAAGCTTTTTTCATTTTTTCTCTTTTTTCAATTTTTAGCACAAGCTTTTTTCACTTTTTTCTTTCTCTTTTTTTCAATTTTTGGCACAAGCTTTTTTCACTTTTTCCTTTTTTTTTCAATTTTTGGCATAAGCTTTTTTCATTTTTTCTCTTTTTTCAATTTTTAGCACAAGCTTTTTTCACTTTTTTCTTTCTCTTTTTTTCAATTTTTGGCACAAGCTTTTTTCACTTTTTCCTTTTTTTTTTCAATTTTTGGCATAAGCTTTTTTCACTTTTTTCTTTCTCTTTTTTTCAATTTTTGGCACAAGCTTTTTTCATTTTTTCTCTTTTTTCAATTTTTGGCACAAGCTTTTTTCACTTTTTTCTTTCTCTTTTTTTCAATTTTTGGCACAAGCTTTTTTCACTTTTTCCTTTTCTTTTTTTCAATTTTTGGCATAAGCTTTTTTCACTTTTTTCCCTTCTCTTTTTTTCAATTTTTGGCATAACCTTTTTTCACTTTTTTTCCTTCTCTTTTTTCAATTTATGGCAAAAACTTTTCCCCCTTTTTTCCTTCTCTTTTTTTCAATTTTTGGCATAAGCTTTTTTCACTTTTTTTCCTTCTCGCTTTCATTATATGTTTCCTACTTTTCTATTATAGTATTGTTCTCCTACTTTACATGTATAAGAAAATAAATTACCCTTTCCCCTTTTCCTGGAGCCCACCCCCCCACCCTTGGTTTCTCCTTTGTTACCCTCAATAAAATATATTGAGGAAATTGTACATGGGATTCAGGCATTTGCGACACTTGGGTTTGCACGCCGACGTTATGGGAAGTCACACTCTCTTCAGCCTCAATGGCGAACTCGAGCTGATTGAAACTCTCCAAGAAAATCCCAGGATAAAGCAGAAAGGATTTGAAGGAAAACACGTGACGTAACCACCCCCGGGTTTCTGGGTTCAGGATCTTACCTTCCATAAACAGATGATGATCAGTGCTAAGAGCAAGAGTCCGCCGATGATGCTTCCAATCAGGATCCAGAGGGAAAGGGGAACCACTTTGGACTGAATGACCTCCAGCACCGTCTGCAGCAGAAAGAAAGCAGGAGAAAAACGAGAAATTGAAGTGTTTGTAATTCGATTTTCTCTCATGGAGAATTAGAATTTTGTTGTTGCGCAGAATTCCCCCAAAAACATTTCCCATCTGACTCCTGCAGTAAATTAATAATGCATCGTTGTGTGGTTTCCACCAAAAATGAGGGCGAAATGAATAGATATTTCCCATTTAACTTTCACAAGAAAATAGAACTGCGCCATTGCGTGGAATTCCACCAAAACAAGGGCAAAATGAGTGGACATTTCCCATCTGACTCCCGCTGGAAATTAGAATTGCGCCATTGCGCAGAATTCCACCAAAAATGAGAGCGAAATGAATAGACATTTACCATCTAACTCCCACAAGAAATTTGAATTGTGCTGTTGCGGGGAATCCACAGAAAACGAGGGTGAAATGAATGGACATTTCTCATCTGACTCCCATGGGAAATTCAAATTGCGCTGTTGCGCAGAGTTCACAAAAAATGAGGGCGAAATGAAGGGACAATTCTCATCTGACCTCCACGGTAAACTAATATTGCGCAGTTGTGTGGTTTCCACCAAAAGCGAGGGCAAAATGAATGGTCATTAAATTAATATTGCGCAGTTGTGTGGTTTCCACCAAAAACGAGGGCGAAATGAAGGGACAATTCTCATCTGACCTCCGCGGTAAACTAATATTGCGCAGTTGTGTGGTTTCCACCAAAAGCGAGGGCAAAATGAATGGTCATTAAATTAATATTGCGCAGTTGTGTGGTTTCCACCAAAAACGAGGGCGAAATGAATGGACGTTAAATTAATATTGCGGAGTTGCGTGGTTTCCACCAAAAACGAGGGCGAAATGAATTGACGTTAAATTAATATTGCGCAGTTGTGTGGTTTCCACCAAAAACGAGAGCGAAATGAATGGACGTTTTCCACCCGACTCCCGTGGGAAATTAATATTGCGGCGTTGCGTGGTTTCCACCAAAAACGAGGGCAAAATGAATTGACGTTAAATTAATATTGCGCCGTTGTGTGGTTTCCACCATAAACGAGAGCGAAATGAATGGACGTTTTCCATCCGACTCCTGCGGGAAATTAATATTGCGCCATTGTGTGGTTTCCACCAAAAACGAGAGCGAAATGAATGGACATTAAATTAATATTGCACGGTTGTGTGGTTTCCTCCAAAAACGAGAGCGAAATGAATGGACGTTTTCCATCCGACTCCCGCGGGAAATTAATATTGCGCCGTTGTGTGGTTTCCACCAAAAACGAGGGCGAAATGAATGGACGTTAAATTAATATTGCGCAGTTGTGTAGTTTCCACCAAAAATGAGCAAAATGAAGGGACGTTAAATTAATATTGCGGAGTTGCGTGGTTTCCAACAAAAAACGAGGGCGAAATGAATGGACGTTAAATTAATATTGCGCAGTTGTGTGATTCCCACCAAAAACGAGCAAAATGAAGGGACGTTAATATTGCGCAGTTGTGTGGTTTCCACCAAAAACGAGAGCGAAATGAATGGATGTTAAATTAATATTGCGCAGTTGTGTGGTTTCCACCAAAAACGAGAGCGAAATGAATGGACATTTCCCATCTGACTTCTGCAGGAAATTAGAGTTGTGCCGTTATGCCCTTTCTACCGAAAACGAGGGTGAAATAAATGGACGGAAATTAGAATTGCGTCATTGCAAGAATTCCACCAAAAACGAGTGACGAGTGAACGACCGGTTCCGACGGTCTCGAAGGGACTTACCTCCCGTCGATGGGCGTCTTTCGGCAAAAGCAGCAAATCATTCTCTTCGGCGGTCAATATGAATCTGCTGACGATTTTCACCGTCTTGAACTTGGCCTCAAGGAAAGCAAGAAAAAGAGAAGGAGAATACGTATTTTTTTCAACGGAAACAACTGGCCTGATTCTCTATTTTCGAATCCCGTATTCTCACCTTCCGGAAAAACTCGTTGTGGATGGCTCTCAGCACGTGGACGGAAACCTCCGAATTCCGCTCAAGGTTGGAGAGGTCGCACTTGACCCGCTGGCAACCGGCATTGGTGCAATTCTAAGGAAGGAAAAGTGGCGAAGAGGTGGACTAGATAGCCTTTAGGGACCCCGCGTTCCTATTACGATTCAGTGGAAATCTGCGGAAACTCACCAGTTTCTCGATGTGCAGAAGATCTTCGGAATGAACGGGGACCACGTCGCCGGGCGCTCTTTGCGCCGATTCGGATGCGTTTTGGACACTACAGGTCACCTTTGAGGTCACAAAACGAAAATATAATCATATTTGGAAGGGACCCCAAGGGCCATCCAGTCCGTAGAAGAAGACCCCATCAAACCCTTCCCAAAAGATGGCCATCTAGCCTTTGCTTGACAATAACCAGGGAAGGACACGGTATCATCATCATAACGAAATATTATATAATTTATATAATATTATATTACTATTATTAATTATTATGGAATCCTAGAGTTGGAAGTGAGCCCCGCAGCCTTCCAACGCCCTTTTGCCAAGAAGACACAAATCGATCCCTCCCAACAGATGGCCATCCAGGCTCTAGAGGATTTGTCTGTCATAATCCAAATTATTATTATTATTATTATTATTATTATTATTATTATTATGGAATCCTAGAGATAGAAAAGACCCCATTCTGAAAAGGCCATAATTCTGCAATAAGGTAATCCCTCCCGGCAGATGGCCATCCAGCCTCCTGAGGAGATGCCTGTCATCATAATCCAAAATATTATTATTATTATTATTATTATCATTATTGAATCCTAGAGATAGAAAAGACCCCCAAGGACCATATCTAGTCCAACCATAATTCTGCAATAAGGTAATCCCTCCCGGCAGATGGCCATCCAGCCTCCAGAGGAGATGTCTGTCATCATCATAATCCAAAATATTATTATTATTATTGTTATTGTTATGGAGGAATCCTAGAGATAGAAAAGACCCCAAGGACGATATCTAGTCCAGCCATCATTCTGCAATAAGGTAACCCCTCCCGGCAGATGGCCATCCAGCCTCCTGAGGAGATGCCTGTCATCATAATCCAAAATATTATTATTATTATTATTATTATTATTATTATTATTATTATGGAGGAATCCTAGAGATAGAAAAGACCACCAAGGACCATATGTAGTCCAGCCATCATTCTGCAATAAGGTAATCCCTCCCGGCAGATGGCCATCCAGCCTCCAGAGGAGATGCCTGTCATCATCATAATCCAAAATATTATTATTATTATTATTATTATTATTATTATTATTATTATTATTATGGAATCCTAGAGATAGAAAAGACCACCAAGGACCATATCTAGTCCAACCATCATTCTGCAGTAAGGTAATCCCTCCCGGCCGATGGCCATCCAGCCTTTCCTTAACTACCTCTGGGGTTATCATTACTATAATTAAAGATTATTGTTGTTGTTGTTGTTGTTGTTGTTATTGCTATTACAGAATCTATTATAGAATCCTAGAGAGTCCCTTTTGCCAGGAAGACACCATTGAAGCCCTCCCGACAGATGGCCACCCAGCCTCTGCTTGACAACCACCGGAGAAGGAGACGCTATCGTCATCATAGCTAAATATTCTTCCTATTGCTATTATAGAATCCTGGATAATCATAATCATAAATAAATAACTATTATTATAATTGCTATAGAATTCTAGAGTTGGGAGACAACCCGATCCCTCCTGACAGATGGCCACTCAGCCTCTGCTTAACCATCACCAGGGAAGGAGACGCTATCATCATAGCTAAAAATTATTATATAATATATATAATTATACTACGATGATTATTATAGAATCCTAGTTGAGAGTTGACGCCCTTTTGCCAGGAAGGAAGACACAATCCGACCCCTCCCGACAGATGTGCAGCCGGACTCTTGATTCGAAACCCTCCAGAGAAGGAAGCGAACCCCTTCCTAAGGTTTAGTTGGAATCTAAATTGAACCTATAGTTCTTCCGAAACATGGCTGTCCTGTGTGTCCGAAAACTCACATTGTCGGCCCAAACACGTGTGACGGAGAGGAACACGCTATCCCCGAACGCCGTCGCCGGGAGCTCCATGGAGAGGGAGAGGTTGCCCACGGCGTAGCAGCCCAGATTTTGTACCTGCGAGGAAGGAAAGACACCGACACTCGGGTGAGAGAGGGAGATCCTACACCCGTTCCAATCCCTCTGCCTGTTTCCCGGACCGATACCTTGACGGTGGTCCTGAACTCGGGACGCATGCCATTGGGAAAAGTCCCGACCGGGTGGACTTCGTAGCGGTTGAGCGTAGTGTCGCTGGCGGAGGAGAAATACGGCCAAACATAAGAAAGAGAGAGAGAATTTATCTCTATCCCTCTCTATCCATCCATCCATCCATCTAGCATCTCACTCACTCTCTCTATCTGCTGTATTTGTTTATCTATCTTGATCTATCAACCTCTGTCGGTCTGTCTGTCCATCCATCCATCTAGCATCTCTATCCATCAAGTCATCCATCCATCCAACCCGCCTTCCATCCACCCACCCATCTATGTAGCATCTCTGTCCATCTATCTATCTATCTATTATCTATCTATCTATCTATCCATCCACCTATCTATCTAGCATCTCTCTCTAGCACCTCTATCTATCCATCCATCCATCCATCCACCCATCCATCCATCCATCCACCCATCCATCCAGCTATCTATCTATCTAGCATCTCTGTCCATCTATCCATCCACCCATCCTTTCACCCACCCACCCACTCATCCATCCATCCATCCATCCATCTAGTATCTCTATCTATCCATCCATTCATCCATCCATCCAACCAGCCTTCCATCCACCCACCCATCTATCTAGCATCTCTGTCCATCTATCCATCCATCCATCCATCCATCCATCCATATCTCACATCTCACATCTATCTATCTATCTATATCTATCTATCTATCCATCCATCCATCCATCCATCCATCCACACCCACCCATCCTTTCACCCACCCACTCATCCATCCATCCATCCATCCATCCATCTATCTATCTAGCATCTCTATCTATCTATCTATCCGTCCGCCCATCCATCCATCCATCCACCCACCCATCCTTTCACCCACCCACTCATCCATCCATCCATCCATCTATCTATCTATCTAGCATCTCTATCTATCTATCTATCCGTCCGCCCATCCATCCATCCATCCACCCACCCATCCTTTCACCCATCCCTCCCTCCCTCCCTCCCTCCCTCCCTCCCTCCCTCCCTCCCTCCCTCCCTCCAGCCATCTATCTATCTATCTATTATCTATCTATCTATCTATCTATCTATCTATCTATCTATCTATCTATCTATCTATCTAGCATCTCTGTCCATCTATCCATCCACCCATCCTTTCACCCACCCACTCATCCATCCATCCATCCATCCATCCATCTATCTACCATCTCTATCTGTCCATCCGTCCGCCCCCCCCCCATCCTTCCACCCACCCACCCATCCATCCCTCTCTCTCCCTCCCTTCATCCATCCATCCATCCATCCATCCATCTAGCATCTCTGTCCATCTATCCATCCACCCATCCTTTCACCCACCCACTCATCCATCCATCCATCCATCCATCCATCTATCTACCATCTCTATCTGTCCATCCGTCCGCCCGCCTCCCCCTTCCACCCACCCATCCCTCCCTCCCTCCCTCCCTCCATCCATCTATCTATCTAGCATCTCTGTCTATCTGTCCATCCATCCGTCCGCCCATCCTTCCACCCACCCATCCCTTCCTCCCTCCCTCCCTCCCTCCCTCCATTCATCCATCCATCCATCCATCCATCCATCCATCCATCCATCCATCCATCCATCCATCTATCTATCTAGCATCTCTGTCCATCTATCCATCCACCCATCCTTTCACCCATCCACTCATCCATCCATCCATTTATCTATCTAGCATCTCTATCTGTCCATCCATCCATCCATCCATCCATCCATCCATCCATCTATCTATCTAGCATCTCTGTCCATCTATCCATCCACCCATCCTTTCACCCATCCACTCATCCATCCATCCATTTATCTATCTAGCATCTCTATCTGTCCATCCATCCATCCATCCATCCATCCATCCATCCATCTACCCATCCATCCATCCATCCATCCATCCATCCATCCATCCATCCATCCATCCATCCATCCATCCATCTATCCATCTATCATCTATCTATCTATCTATCTATCTATCTATCTATCTATCTATCTATCTATCTATCTATCTATCTATCATCTATCTATCTATCTATCTATCTATCTATCTATCTATCTATCTATCTATCTATCTATCTATCTCTATCCTTCTTTTCTATGCATCGTCTGTCCGTCTGTCTCTCCATCCGTCCATCCATCTATCCATCCATCTGTCTCTCCATCCGTCCATCCATCTATCTATCTGTCCATCTGTCTCTCCATCCATCCATCCGTCTATCCGTCTGTCCATCCGTCTTGTCTGTCTCTCCATCCATCCATCCATCTATCCGTATGTCTGTCCGCCTGTCCGTCCGTCCATCCATCCATCCATCTATCCATCCATCCATCTATCCATCCATCCATCCATCCATCCATCCATCCATCCATCCATCCATCCATCTATCCATCCATCTGTCCATCCATCTAGCATCTTCATCTATCTACAGTATGTCTCTATCTTATCTATCTATCCATCTAGTATCTCTAGTATCTCTATAGTATGTATGTAGCTATTGATCCATCCATCTTAACTATCCATCTAGCATCTCTTTACCTGCTTGCAGAGGAGAAATAAGGCCAAACATAAGAATAATAATAATTATTATTATTAATTAATTACCTCGTTAGGAAAAGGTCCGGCTCGTAGCGAACGGAAGCCACAACTTGCGCCGTGTTGTCCGCAAGGGTCTCGTTCAACTCCAGGCTGTCGCTAAGGCAAAATAAGACAGAAATAATAATAATATAATTTTATATAATCATATTTTATAATATTGTATTATAGTGGCGTCTTGTTTATCTGACCTTCGCTTAACCGACATGCCATCTGCTCGGCCCTTCCGGCCCCGGGGCGTTGCCTGGCCTGAACTCTTTGACTCCCTGTTATTAGTATTCTAGGTGTCTCGTGCCACATTGGACAGTAGGAGACTCCGGATTATCCGATATTTTGTTTATCCGACATTCTGCAAAACTCTACTGGCATCCCAGGGTTCCTTTCTCTCTCCGTTGGTGTGGAATTTGCACGACCCCCCGCCTACTGCCTCTCCCTTAACCCTTTCTTACGGCACACAGCAAACACAGAGGAATTGATCAGCAACTCAACAGACTTAAAGCGGTTTGGGAGACTGACTCAACAGGATGGAAGTTGTAGTTCACCCTGCATCTATCTATCTGACCCCCGTCGATAATAGACCTGGACCACATTTGGCATACAGAACCCCCATGATCAGGTTTAAGGGAATTGACCTTGATTTATAGGAGTTGCAGTTCACCTACATCCGGAGATCACTGTGAACCCAACCAACGATGGATCTGGACCAAACTTGCCATGGATGATGGGATCTGCTGTACCCTTCCAGACACCACTGCAACCTCCAGTATGATGGATCAGGATCACACTTGCCACACAGACCCCCCATGACCAACTATATGTCCCAGTGAAGTTTGGGGGAGGACGGATCGTGGATGATGGTATTTGTAGTACCTTCACTCACTTCCAGAGACCACTGCGACCCCGACAAATGACAGATCAGGATCATACCTGGTAAACAGACCCCCTCCCTCCCATGACCAACTATATGTCCTGGTGAAATTTGGGGGAGGACTGATCATGAATGATGGGAACTGCAGTACCTTCATTCACTTCCAGAGGCCACTGCGACCCCCATGCATGACGGATCAGGATCACACTTGGCACACAGACCCCCCATTACCTACTATATGTCCCGGTGAAGTTTGGGGGAGGACTGATCATGGATGATGGGATTTGCAGTACCTTCACTCACTTCCAAAGACCACTACGACCCCCACGCATGACGGATCAGCATCATACTTAGCACACAGACCCCCCATGACCAATTATATGTCCCGGTGAAGATTGGGGGAGGACTGATCATGGATGATGGGATTTGTAGTACCTTCACTCACTTCCAGAGACCACTGCGACCCCGACGAATGACAGATCAGGATCATACTTGGTAAACAGACCCCCCCCCCCCCCATGACTGACTATATGTCCCAGTGAAGTTTGGGGGGACGGACGGACCACGGAAAATGGGATTTGCAGTACCTTCACCCAATTTGGCAAATAACTCGGGCACTTCTAAGTACGCAAGCTAGTATTAAATATGAGAAGAATAATCTGTACACATAATAACAGTGAAAATATGTATGTGTATGTAATATAAAAATAAGTAATTAAAATTATAAGAAATAATAATAATAATAATAATAATAATAATAATAATATCTGCTGATTATGGGTACCTGTTTGCCGTGAGCTTCACCAAGGCTCGGTTCAGAAGGGAGGAGCAGCTGAATTCGAATTCGAGGGCAAATGCCACCTTAAGAGAGGGAGGAAAAAATGGACCACCTTAAATAGATTAATATTAAGACTCCTATAGGACCCTTGCCATATGGACTTGGTCAAGCCAAGGGTTACTCACCCATAGCCTAATAGATATAAAATAAAATTTTTGATTTAATTGCATATATGTAATATAATGAATTAACTAATGTAATTAATTAAAATTATATTGAATTAGATTAAAATTTATATTTATTATAAATAATATGTAATTAATTAGTATAAATTAAAATCATGTTTAAAATGCAAAATCATATACAAGTGCAAAGAAGCCAGAATGGATGTCCAAAGAACTTCTAACTGTGCTAAGACACAAAAGAGACATGCACAAGAAGTGGGAAAAGGGAGAAATCACCAAAGAAGAATTCAAACAAATAGCCAACACCTGTAGGGAAAAGGTCCGCAAGGCTAAAGCACAAAACGAGCTCAGGCTTGCCAGGGACATTAAAAACAATAAAAAGGGATCCTTTTCTTATGTCAGTAGAAAAAGGAAAAACAAGGAGGCGATAGGGCGTCTTCGAGGAGAAGATGGGGCAATGCTGACGGGATGATAGGGAAAAGGCAGAACTACGGGGCATTTAATTTAAAATTATATGTATGTATCTATACTTTAATATTTATTAAATATATTTATATAATAAACTCAAATTAAAATTATATATATATATATTATTTTAATTTGAGTTTATTATATAAATATATTTAATAAATATTAAAGTATATATATATATACATATAATTTTAAATTAAATTTAAATATACATATATTTATTAAATGTTTTATATATTATTTTAAATTGAGTTGAAATCTATAAATATATTTAATAAATGTTAAAGTGTGTGTATATATGTATATATATAATTTTAAATTGAGTTTAATTATATAAATATATGTAATAAATGTTAAAGTATATTTATATATTTATATATTACTTTAAATTGAGTTTTACTTTAGCCAACGAATAAATATATTCTTATTAATTCTTATTAATATCTATATATTAATAAATTAATCAGACAAAATAACAAAAAACCTATATATGCTTTACTTTGGCCGACGAACGGAACACGGGGAACCCCACGCTGCAGGACCGGGTCTGCGACGACGGAACCGTGCATTCGACCTTCACTGGGTTCTCTCCCTGCAAAATAATAATAATAATATACGAATATAATAAGAATATAAAACATAAGAATATCGTAATGAAATGTAATATAAATTATATTATATATTACATTAGCATATTGTTATTATAGTTATTATGTTATATATATAAAACACAATAAGAATAAATATAAGATCTAGAACCCAGGATACCGACCTGGAACCATCTTCACAAGAACTATAATATCCCGAACATGGGGTCCAGGATCTAGAACACAGGATCGTGTGGATTGAACACATGATCTGGAACCCAGTGTGTGGAAATTGGGCATTGGGGATGCCTTGAATGTGGGACCTAGAACCATGTGTCTAGAAGTATATCGTGGACCCGGAACAAGGGATATAGAGCCCTGTGTTTGGGGCAGGGAGTATTGGGGAGGATCTCGTAAACACATGGGAGCCCCCTGGCGATCTAGAACCATGCAGTGGAAAACGGAGCATTAAGAGGACCTCTTGATCATGGAACACAAGATCTAGAACACAAGATCTAGACTCCACTTTGGGGATCTCTTGAGCGTGGGAGCAGGGACATAGAACCATGTGCTTTAGGGAACACAGCTCATTTGCATGGAACATGGGATCTAGAGCTCTCATTTGGGAAATGGGATCTAGAACCAAGTTTTTGAATTGGGGGCATAGGGAGGATCTCTTGAACATGGGGATGAGATCTAGAACACAGGTCATTTGCATGGAACATGGGATACCCATTTGGGATGTGGGATCTAGAAGAAAGTGTTTGGAATTGGGGGTGTAGGTAGGATCTCTTGAACATGGGGCATAGGATCTAAAACATGTGATCTGGATCCTGCGCACAGGTCACGGAACTCCCTGTTTCAAGGAGGGGACATTGGGGGGACTGCTTGATCACTGGACACAGGATCTAGAGCATACCTTGAGGACTAAGCTGGAGAAGTGGAGGTTCCTGGAGAACCAGAGCGCGAGGCTGGCGTTGTAGGCGTTCTCCTTCTTGTTCTCTAGAAGGACCTCCACCACGGCCTTGCGCCGGCCCTTGCGCACCACGTGCGGGCTCTGCCTGCAACCAGAACCGAGACAATGCCTAGAACACACATTGGAGACCATCTTCGAGGTATTATTATTATTATTATTATTATTATTATTATTATGTGTTATTATGTGTTGTTATTATTAGTGTTAGACTCCCAATACGATAAATGACATCTCCCACCATCTTGGATAGGCTGATGGTATTATTGTTGTTGTTATTGGAAAGGCACTCTGCACATACTCAGAGGCACTTCCATTTGGGCAATGAAAAGAAGGCTTGAATGTATTATCATAATTAATATAATTACTATATAATCCTTGGCGTCCTATTAACCTAATTATATTATTATTATTATTATTATTATTATTATTATTATTATCATTTCCTACCTTTTCACACTTGGCCTATTAACTTTATTATTGTTGTTGTTGTTGTTATTTCCTACCTTTTGACACTTGGCCTCCTATTAACTTTACTATTATTATTATTATTATTATTATTATTATTATTGTTATTTCCTACCCTTTGACACCTGGCCTCCTATTTAATTTATTATTATTATTATTTTTATTATTATTATTATTATTATTATTTGCAAATGCTCCTTTTCTCACAACAACATGAGTCCGACAGCAGAGGGGTGCTATTGGAGGAAAAAGCTTGAGACCCATAACGAAAACCTAAGCAAGAATACGACGCAAGAAACCGCAAAAAAAACACAAAAAAAATACGACAACATACAATATTGAAACATCTTATCTACTATACTCTTGAAATGACACAAAACAACAATACGTCATGTGAAATAAGGTCTCATATTTAATCCACTAAGCTAGCTCTTAAGAGGTGGCCTAGCGGGGTACAAATAAAGTTATTTATTATTATATTATTATTATTATTATTATTATTATTGTTATTTCCTACCTTTAGACACCTGGCCTCCTATTAACCTAATTATATTATTATTATTATTATTATTATTATTATTATTATTATTTCCTACCTTTTCACACTTGGCCGCCTATTAACTTTATTATTATTATTATTATTATTATTATTATTATTATTATTATTGTTGTTGTTGTTGTTATTTCCTACCTTTTGACACCTGGCCTCCTATTAACCTAATTATATTATTATTATTATTATTATTATTATTATTATCATTTCCTACCTTTTCACACTTGGCCTATTAACTTTATTATTGTTGTTGTTGTTGTTATTTCCTACCTTTTGACACTTGGCCTCCTATTAACTTTACTATTATTATTATTATTATTATTATTATTATTATTATTATTGTTATTTCCTACCCTTTGACACCTGGCCTCCTATTAACCTAATTATATTATTATTATTATTATTATTATTATTATTATTATTATTGTTATTTCCTACCTTTAGACACCTGGCCTCCTATTAACCTAATTATATTATTATTATTATTATTATTATTATTATTATTTCCTACCTTTTCACACTTGGCCGCCTATTAACTTTATTATTATTATTATTATTATTATTATTATTATTATTATTGTTATTTCCTACCTTTTGACACCTGGCCTCCTATTAACCTAATTATATTATTATTATTATTATTATTATTATTATTATTATTTCCTACCTTTTCACACTTGGCCGCCTATTAACTTTATTATTATTATTATTATTATTATTATTATTATTATTATTATTATTATTGTTATTTCCTACCTTTTGACACCTGGCCTCCTATTAACCTAATTATATTATTATTATTATTATTATTATTATTATTATCATTTCCTACCTTTTCACACTTGGCCTATTAACTTTATTATTGTTGTTGTTGTTGTTGTTATTTCCTACCTTTTGACACTTGGCCTCCTATTAACTTTACTATTATTATTATTATTATTATTATTATTATTATTGTTATTTCCTACCCTTTGACACCTGGCCTCCTATTAACCTAATTATATTATTATTATTATTATTATTATTATTATTATTATTATTATTATTATTGTTATTTCCTACCTTTAGACACCTGGCCTCCTATTAACCTAATTATATTATTATTATTATTATTATTATTATTATTATTTCCTACCTTTTCACACTTGGCCGCCTATTAACTTTATTATTATTATTATTATTATTATTATTATTATTATTATTATTATTGTTATTTCCTACCTTTTGACACCTGGCCTCCTATTAACCTAATTATATTATTATTATTATTATTATTATTATTATTATTATTTCCTACCTTTTCACACTTGGCCTCCTATTAACTTTATTATTGTTGTTGTTGTTGTTGTTGTTGTTGTTGTTGTTGTTATTTCCTACCTTTTGACACCTGCCCTCCAATTACCCTAATTATATGATGATGATGATGATTATTATTATTATTATTGTTATTTCCTACCTTTTGAGACCCGGCCTCAAAGAGTATATATATAATACATCTTATATATTATATATTACTCTTACTATATAATATATATAATAATATCATAATAAAAAGGTGATTAAGAGGCCAGGGGTCAAGAGGTAGGAAATAATAATAATAATAATAATAATAATAATAATAATAATAATAATTTTTAATACATTAATAGGAGGCCAGGTGTCAAGGTTTGAAATAATAATAATAATAATAATAATAATATATTTTAATACAATATAATGAGTTAATAGAAGGCTATTATTATTATTATTATTATTATTTCCAACCTTGACACCTGGCCTCCTATTAACATTATTATTATTATTATTATTATTGTATTATAATAATATTATTTTTATGTTACATTATATAATAATATATTATTACACCCTCCCCTTTGAAACCTGGCCTCTTATTAATTACTCTTGATTATTCTTGATTATTCTTGATTATTCTTGATTATTATTATTATTATTATAATTATTAATTCTGACCTGGATCCAGCGATGTCCATCCGCACTCGCAGTGCCAAGTCGGTGACGCACTCGTCGTCCTCACCACAGTCCTTGAAGAAGGGGATCTAAGGAGAAAAAAATGGTCAAAGCACCATTCGATCCCTCCCGACAGACGGCCAGGAACACCGACTCTCACCAATTTCTTAATGACAGTGGGCGACTTCTCATCCAAAACAGGTCCGGGTTCCGTGTCGCTCAAGGCAAACGTCAGCAGCACCGACACCGGGCGCAAGTAGTCCGAAGTATCCTGTGTTTGGAAGAGAATTGTATATTATTATTATTATTATTATTATTATTTTGAAGGTATTTAAAATTATTAATATTATTATTTAATTGATATCATATTTCTTATTCTTATTGAAGGTATTAATTATTATTATTATTATTATTATTATTATTTAATTGATATTATTATTGAATTATTTTATTTTTATTATTATTATTGAAGGTAATTATTATTATTAAATTTATATTATTTTTATTATTGAAGGTATTTATTATTATTATTATTTAATTGATATCATCATCATTATTAAACATCTATTATTATTATTATTTCATTTATATTATTATTGATGGTATTTATTATTAATATTATTTAATTGATATTATTATTATTTAATTGATATCATTATTATTATTGAAGGTATTATTAATATCATTATTTAATTGATATTATTATTGAATTATTTTATTTTTATTTTTATTATTGAAGGTTATTATTATTATTATTATTATTAAATTTATATTATTATTATTATTGAAGGTATTTATTATTATTATTATTTAATTGATATCATCATCATTATTAAACATCTATTATTATTATTTCATTGATATTATTATTGATGGTATTTATTACTAATATTATTTAATTGATATTATTATTATTTAATTGATATCATTATTATTATTATTGAAGGTACTTGATATTATTATTATTGATGGTTATTATTAATATTATTATTATTTAATTGATATTATTATTATTATTGAAGGTATTTAGTAATATTATTATTATTATTATTATTTAATTGATATCATTATTATTGATGGTTATTATTATTTTTTATTATTTAATTGATATCATTACTATTATTATTACTGAAGGTATTTGATATTATTATTATTGATGGTTATTATTAATATTATTATTATTTAACTGATATCATTAGTATTATTGAAGGTGTTTAGTAATATTATTATTATTATTATTTAATTGATATCATTATTATTGATGTTATTATTAATTTTTTTATTATTTAATTGATATCATTACTATTATTATTACTGAAGGTATTTGATATTATTATTATTGATTGTTATTATTAATATTATTATTATTTAATTGATATTATTATTATTATTATTATTGAAGGTATTTAGTATTATTATTATTATTATTATTATTATTATTATTTAATTGATATCATTATTATTGATGTTATTATTTTTTTTATTATTTAATTGATATCATTACTATTATTATTATTGAAGGTGTTTAGTTATATTATTAATATTATTTAATTGATATTATTATTATTTAATTGATATCAATATTATTATTGATGGTTATTATTATTTTTTATTATTTAATTATATTATTATTATTTAATTTATATTATTATTATTATTATTATTGAAGGTATTTATTATTATTATTTAATTTATATTATTATTATTATTATTATTATTATTTTTCTGGGCTTTTTCCTACTCACAATGACGTGGAAGCGTGCGCTGGCGCAGGCCGTCCGGCCAGTGGTGGCCCGAATGCGCTTCTGGATGCGCTTCTGGCCGTTGCTGTCGAAAATGGCCCGCGTCCCGAACTTCCGGTCGTCCAGCGAGACGTTGTACTTGATGCCTGTGAGTTAAAGGTCAATACACTCTATTAATATTATATTATATTATATTATATTATATTATATTATATTATATTATATTATATATATTATATTATATTATATATATAATATATATTGTTATTATTATATTATATAATATATATATATATTATAATAATAATAATAAATAATATAACATTATTATATATAATATTATTTAATATAAATTATAATATATATATAATATATATATATAATAATATATGTAAAATATATAATATATAAAACGTGTTATATTATAATTATTATATAAATAATATAATGTTGTAGCATAATATAACAATAATATATTTATATTATATTATGATTATTAGATTATATTATTAAATAATGATTATATTAATAATATACTATAGTATATATGATATATATATAATGTATATATAATATATATACAATACTATTATATATACATTATATAATAACAATAATATATTGTATTATTATATTATGATTATTAGATTATATTATTAAATAATGATTATATTACATAAATACTATAGTATATATGATATACTATTAACAATAATGTAATATATGATTATATTACATATAATTATCAGATTACATTATAATTATTATATAAATATTATATATATAATAACAATAATAATATATAATATATTAATAATAATGTAATATTATAACTATTATGTTATATAAATATATATGATTATGTAATATAATAATATTGTATGATTACAATTACTGTATTAGATATTATAATATAATCATATTATAACAATGTGATATATTATTATGATTTTATCTATAATATAATGTAATATAATATTAATTATGTAATATAATAATATTGTGTGACTACAATTATTGTAGTCACAATTATAATTTATAATCTAATATAATATTATATGATTATAATTTGATGTTATATAGATATCATACTAATAATGCTGTAATATCATATAATAATATATTATATAATATTATATAACGATATTATATTAAATAATATATATATAATTATCAGATTATATTATAATTATTATATAAATAATATATATATAATAATATAATATGTTATATTATATATTAATAATAATGTAATATTATATTATAGTAATAATAATTTTAATATTATATAGATATATGAATAATGCTGTAATATCATAATATTATATTATATTATAATAATACATTACAATATTATATTAAATAATAATAATATAATTGTAATAAATATGATATTAAGTGTGGTCCTACTCACTGAAGGGACTGGAGCGTGAGGAGGAGGAAGATGATGAGTAGGATGATGAGGCCCGGAAGCAGAGGTTGGCCGAGACGCAGACGGACTCCTTCCCGTTACGATGGCAATTCTTCTGGACGACGTTGATGGCCGGCGGGTTGGCCGAGATTGAAGCCTCCACCTGCACGACCTTCCGCGACCTGTCCAAGGTAGATAGAGTAGATGCCCTCTGGGGGTCCCCTCGAGCCCCACCAAGGGTCCGAGGGTCGGACCGGATGCCCTCTGGGGGTCCCCTCGAGCCCCACCAAGGGTCCGAGGGTCGGACCGGATGCCCTCTGGGGGTCCCCTCGAGCCCCACCAAGGGTCCGAGGGTCGGACCGGATGCCCTCTGGGGGTCCCCTCGAGCCCCACCAAGGGTCCGAGGGTCGGACCGGATGCCCTCTGGGGGTCCCCTCGAGCCCCACCAAGGGTCCGAGGGTCGGACCGGATGCCCTCTGGGGGTCCCCTCGAGCCCCACCAAGGGTCCGAGGGTCGGACCGGATGCCCTCTGGGGGTCCCCTCGAGCCCCACCAAGGGTCCGAGGGTCGGACCGGATGCCCTCTGGGGGTCCCCTCGAGCCCCAACAATAGCGAAGTTCGGACTGCATCCCGGAGCGGATGGCGTGTGCTCACCTGAGGAGGACGGCTGCCCCTTGCGCCCCGACGGCCAGGTCCACCAATCCGTCCCCGTCCAGGTCGATCTGACCGTCCAGGCTGCGGCCAAAGTAGCCCAAGCCCAGGCGGAAGGAGGCCGCCTCAATACGCTGCGGAAAGAAAGAAAGAACGAACGAGAAAGAGGAAAGTTAAACGACAAGAGACTTGACAATCCTATTATTATTATTATTATTATTACTATTATTATTATCATCATCATATTACTGTTATTATTATTATCATATCTAACAATCTCAATGAGTGTCATGGGTTTACTGAGAACCTACATTATTATTATTATTATTATTATTATTATCATATTACTGTTATTATTATTACTATTATTATCATAATACTGTTATAATTATTACTGTTACTCTTATTATTACTATTATTATCATTACTGTTATTATTATTATCATATCTAACAATCTCAATGAGTGTCATGGGTTTACTGAGAACCTACATTATTATTATTATTACTATTATTATCATATTACTGTTATTATTATTATTATATTACTGTTATTATTATTATTACTATTATTATTATCATTACTGTTATTATTATCATATCTAACAATCTCAATGAGTGTCATGGGTTTACTGAGAACCTACATTATTATTATTATTATTATTATTATTATTATCATATTACTGTTATTATTATTATTATTATATTACTGTTATTATTATTATTACTATTATTATCATTACTGTTATTATTATTATCATATCTAACAATCTCAATGAGTGTCATGGGTTTACTGAAAACCTACATTATTATTATTATTAATAATAATAATAATAATATGGCATCTACATTATTATTATTAGTATCATCATCATCATCACCATCATCAGTATATCTATCAATCCCAATTAATGTCATGGGTCTACTGAGAGTTAAATAATAATAATAATAATAATAATAATAATAATAATAATAATAATAATAATAATAATAATATGGCATCTACATTATTATTATCATCATCGTCATCATCATTGTCATCATCATCATCATTATAGCTATCAATACCAATTAATGTCATGGGTCTACTGAGAGTCCACATAATAATATGTCACCTATTATGTCACCTATAGCATCTAATGTATTATTATTATTATTATTATTATTATTATTATTATTATTATATCTATTATATTGTTGTTGTGTTGTTGTTGATGTTGTTGACTTGCCTGTGTGTACTGTGGCCGGAGGGTGTTGCGCTGCCCGTGGTAGAGGTAGACCGCCCCCTGGTGTCCATCCTCGAGCGGCGCGCCCACCGCCACATCGTTGTACCCGTCCTGGTTGAGGTCCGGCAAGGCCAGCAGCGCAAAGCCAAAGCGGGCGTCCTGAGGCTTCGGGTCGGACTCCAGCGTCCCATTCGCGGACAGCAGCGACTGGTTGGGAGAAGGCCTCGTTAGTCACACAAGGCTCTCACCCGCACACATTTCCCCCCTCGGAAACCGAGGAGAGTGCACTCACTTGCCCCACTCGGTAGACGTAGACGCGGCCGGTCTCTTTGTTCTGGGCCCCCAGGTACATGGGGGCGGCCACCAGCAGGACGTCCGTCACCCCGTCCCCATCCACATCCACCGGGCAGACTTCGCTCCCAAAGTAGCCCCCGATCTGCAAAGAAAGACCCGAGGAGAGGTTGGGTGTCCTCTGGGGGGCCCTTCAGACTCTCATGATTCAAAGGTCTAGGACTGGATGATCTCTAGGAGTCCCATCTATGAATCAAAGGTATAGATGACCTCTAGGAGTCCCACCTGTTACTCAAAGGTATAGACTAGATGATCACTAGGGGTCCCATCTATGATTCAAAGGTATAAACTAGATGACCTCTAGGGGTAGCATCTATGATTATAGACTAGATGACCGCTAGGGTCCTATTTATGATTAAAGTATAGACTAGATGACCTCTAGGGGTCCCTCTGGAGTCTACAGGTCAAAGGCATGGACTAGATGACCTCTAGAGGTCCCATCTATGATTAAAAAATAGACTGGGAATCATTGAGGGATCTCTCCTGACTTTGGCTCAAAGGTATGTCGACTAGACGACTCCTAGGGGTTCCATCTATGATTAAAGTATAGACTAGATAACCTCTCGGGGTCCCTCTGGCGTCTACAGTTCAAAGGCATGACTAGATGACCTCTAGGGGTCCCAACTATGATTATAGATGACCTCTCGGGGTCCCTCTGAAGTCTACAGTTCAAAGGCATGACAAGATGACCTCTGGGGGTCCCATCTATGATTATAGACTAGATGACCTCTATGGTCCCTCTGAAGTCTACAGTTCAAAGGCATGGACTAGATGACCTCTAGGGGTCCCAACTATGATTATAGATGACCTCTAGGGGTCCCTCTGAAGTCTACAGTTTAAAGGCATGGTCTAGATGACCTCTAGGGGTTCCATTAATAGATTAGATGACCTCTAGGGGTCCCATTAATAAACTAGATGACCTCTAGGGGTCCCTCTGGAGTCTACCATTCAAAGGCATGGACTAGATGACCTCTAGGGGTCCCATCTATGAGACTAGATGACCTCTAGGGTTCCCATTTATGATTAATAGGCTAGATGACCTCTAAGGATCCCTCTGGAGTCTAGAGTTCTAAGGCGTGGACTAGATGACCTGTAGGGTTCCCATTAATAGATTAGATGACCTCTAGGGATCCTATCTATGATTATAGACTAGATGATCCCTAGGGTTCCCATCTGTGATTATAGACCAGATGACCTCTAGGGGCCCCATCTATGATCATAGACGAGATGACCTCTAGGGTCCCATCTATGGTTAAATTATAGACTAGATGACTACTCAGGGTCCCTCTGGAGTCTACAGTTCTAAGGCATGGACTAGATGACCTCTAGGGGTCCCATCTCTGATTATAGACTAGATGACCTCTAGGGGTCCCATCTATGATTAATAGGCTAGATGACCTCTAGGGGTCCCATTAATAGACTAGATAACCTCTAGGGGTCCCATCTATGATTATAGACTAGATGACGTCTAGGGGTCCCATTAATAGACTAGATGACCTCTAGGGGTCCTTCTGAAGTCTACAGTTCAAAGGCATGGACTAGATGACCTCTAGGGGTCCCATCCATGATTATAGACTAGATGAGCTCTAGGGTTCCCATCTATGACTAAATTATAGACTAGATGACCTCTAGGGGTCCCTCTGGAGTCTAAAGGCATGGACTAGATGACCTCTAGGGGTCCCATCTGTGATTATAGGCTATATGACCTCTCGGGTCCCTCTGGAGTCTACCATTCAAAGGCATGGACTAGATGACCTCTAGGAGTCCCATCTATGATTAAAATATATTCTAGATGACCTCTAAGGGTCCCCTTTGATTCTACATATAGTTCAAAGCTATCAGACTAGATGACCTCTAGGGGCCCCATCCATGTTTATAAATGGAGACTAGATGACCTCTTGTGGTCTCTTTGGATATCACTTATGTTTGAAAGGTATAGGCTAGATGGCCTCTAGGGGTCCCACCCATGATTCAAAGGTATAGACTCGGAATCAATGCCCGTCCATGGGGAATGGCTGTGGGCCACTCTACCTGTTCGCCGGTCAGGGCTTGGGTGATGCGCAGGGTGTCCGCGCCGCGGCTGCCCATCTCGAAGAGGATGACCTTGCCCTTGTGCTTGAAGCGGGGAGCGCCGGCCACCAAGAGAGCCCTCCCGCCACGCAGCTTGATGGACGATACCGTGTACCCTAGGGAAAAATAATTAGAGAATTAATTAGTTGTGATAATAATAAGTTGTAATAATAATAATAATAATAATAATAATTCCACGTTGGATCATCAGATGTCTAGATGTCATCGGGGTTTGTGAAAATATTAGAATAATAATAATAATAATAACGATAATAATTCCACGTTGGATCATCAAATGTCTAGATGTCATCGGGGTTTGTGAAAATATTAGAACAATAATAATAATAATAACGATAATAATTCCACGTTGGATCATCAAATGTCTAGATGTCATCGGGGTTTGTGAAAATATTAGAACAATAATAATAATAATAATGATAATAATAATAATTCCACATTGGATCATCAAATGTCTAGATGTCATCAGGGTTTGTGAAAATATTAGAACAATAATAATAATAATAATAATAATAATAATAATAATTCCACATTGGATCATCAAATGTCTAGATGTCATCGGGGTTTGTGAAAATATTAGAACAATAATAATAATAATAATAATAATAATAATTCCACATTGGATCATCAAATGTCTAGATGTCATCGGGGTTTGTGAAAATATTAGAACAATAATAATAATAATAATAATAATAATAATAATAATAATAATAATTCCACATTGGATCATCAAATGTCTAGATGTCATCGGGGTTTGTGAAAATATTAGAACAATAATAATAATAATGATAATAATTCCACGTTGGATCATCAAATGTCTAGATGTCATCGGGGTTTGTGAAAATATTAGAACAATAATAATAATAATAATAATAATAATAATTCCACATTGGATCATCAAATGTCTAGATGTCATCGGGGTTTGAGAAAATATTAGAACAATAATAATAATAATAATAATAATAATTCCACGTTGGATCATCAAATGTCTAGATGTCATCGGGGTTTGTGAAAATATTAGAACAATAATAATAATAATAATAATAATAATAATAATAATAATTCCACATTGGATCATCAAATGTCTAGATGTCATCGGGGTTTGTGAAAACATTAGAACAATAATAATAATAATAATAATAATAATTCCACATTGTTGGATCATCTAATGTCTAGATGTCATCGGGGTTTGAGAAAATATTAGAACAATAATAATAATAATAATAATAATAATAATAATAATAATAATAATTCCACGTTGGATCATCAAATGTCTAGATGTCATCGGGGTTTGTGAAAATATTAGAATAATAATAATAATAATAATAATAATAATAATAATGATAATAATTCCACATTGTTGGATCATCAAATGTCTAGATGTCATCGGGGTTTGTGAAAATATTAGAACAATAATAATAATAATAATAATAATAATAATAATTCCACGTTGGATCATCAAATGTCTAGATGTCATTAGGTTTTGTGAAAATATTAGAATAATAATAATAATAATAATAATAATAATAATAATAATTCCACGTTGGATCATCAAATGTCTAGATGTCATCGGGGTTTGTGAAAATATTAGAACAACAATAATAATAATAATAATAATAATAATAATTCCACGTTGGATCATCAAATGTCTAGATGTCATCGGGGTTTGTGAAAATATTAGAACAATAATAATAATAAGAATAATAAGAATAATTCCATGTTAGATCATCAAATGTCTAGATGTCATCGGGGTTTGTGAAAATATTAGAACAATAATAATAATAATAATAATAATAATAATAATAATAATTCCACATTGTTGGATCATCTAATGTCTAGATGTCATCGGGGTTTGAGAAAATATTAGAACAATAATAATAATAATAATAATAATAATAATAATAATAATAATAATTCCACGTTGGATCATCAAATGTCTAGATGTCATCGGGGTTTGTGAAAATATTAGAACAATAATAATAATAATAATAATAATAATTCCACGTTGGATCATCAAATGTCTAGATGTCATCGGGGTTTGTGAAAATATTAGAACAATAATAATAATAATAATAATAATAATAATAATAATTCCACATTGGATCATCAAATGTCTAGATGTCATCGGGGTTTGTGAAAACATTAGAACAATAATAATAATAATAATAATAATAATTCCACATTGTTGGATCATCTAATGTCTAGATGTCATCGGGGTTTGAGAAAATATTAGAACAATAATAATAATAATAATAATAATAATAATAATAATAATAATAATGTTGGATCATCAAACGTCTAGACGTCATCGGGGTTTGTGAAAATATTAGAAATAATAATAATAATAATAATAATAATAATAATAATAATAATGTTGGATCATCAAACGTCTAGACGTCATCGGGATTTGTGAAAATATTAGAAATAATAATAATAATAATAATAATAATAATAATTCCACGTTGGATCATCAAATGTCTAGATGTCATTAGGTTTTGTGAAAATATTAGAATAATAATAATAATAATAATAATAATAATAATAATAATAATAATAATTCCACGTTGGATCATCAAATGTCTAGATGTCATCGGGGTTTGTGAAAATATTAGAACAACAATAATAATAATAATAATAATAATAATAATTCCACGTTGGATCATCAAATGTCTAGATGTCATCGGGGTTTGTGAAAATATTAGAACAATAATAATAATAAGAATAATAAGAATAATTCCATGTTAGATCATCAAATGTCTAGATGTCATCGGGGTTTGTGAAAATATTAGAACAATAATAATAATAATAATAATAATAATAATAATAATGATAATAATTCCACATTGTTGGATCATCAAATGTCTAGATGTCATCGGGGTTTGTGAAAATATTAGAACAATAATAATAATAATAATGATAATAATTCCACATTGTTGGATCATCAAATGTCTAGATGTCATCGGGGTTTGTGAAAATATTAGAACAATAATAATAATAATAATAATAATAATAATTCCACGTTGGATCATCAAATGTCTAGATGTCATCGGGGTTTGTGAAAATTTATGCTGTGGACTATAAATACTATAAATAAAAATAATAAGAAATACTATAAAATAAAAATAAATACTGTAAATAATAATAGTTACTATAAAATAATAATAATAATAATAATAATAATAATAATAATAATAATAAGTTGTGATGATGATGATGATGATACAACAGCCAGCGGAGTGTCTGCTGTGGAATCATCTTGTCGTGTTTCTAATAATAATAATAATAATAATAATAATAATAATAATAATAATAATAATAGCTTATTAAAGTAATAAGAATATTAATTCCCTCACCCAGGTAGGCAGCGTGGTTTTTCATCCTGAGCGGGAACTCGCTTTCGAAGGCCTTTCGGGGCGGAACGAGCCTCTCGTTCGGACTCTCGCGCAAGACGGCTCCGTCCCAGTCGTAGGCGCCCACCATCCCAAATAGGATCCCGTCCTGCAAACACACACACGCACATATATATATATGATTCATAGCTATCTATTAGGCTTGGGCGGTTTCGTTCGTTAATTTCGTAATTCGTAATTAATTCGTATTTAAATTAGCTTACGATCCGATATTGAGCCATGCAGGAATAGTGTGAGGAGTACTTACTTACTTAGGCGATCCCTCGTTGGACGAGTAAGATGGTCTTCCATTATGGATTTCCTTGTGGGTCCGTATGTGGCTGTGGAGCCCTATTCTTGCTCTGCATCTTCTTCCGCAGTGAGGGCATTGGTTTCCAGGTGGAAGGCGGTCCCGGTTGGGGTTGGCTTGACGCGCCTTCCTCCTGGCACGTTTCTCTCTTTCACCCTCCACTCGTGCCTCCTCAAATTCTGCAGCACTGCTGGTCACAGCTGACCTCCAGCTGGAGCGCTCAAGGGCCAGGGCTTCCCAGTTCTCAGTGTCTATGCCAGAGTTTTTAAGGTTGGCTTTGAGCCCATCTTTCAATCTCTTTTCCTGCCCACTAACATTCCGTTTTCCGTTCTTGAGTTCGGAGTAGAGCAACTGCTTTGGGAGACGGTGGTCAGGCATCCGGACAACGTGGCCGGCCCAGCGGAGTTGATGTTGGAGGACCATCGCTTCAATGCTGGTGGTCTTTGCTTCTTCCAGCACACTGACGTTTGTCCGCTTGTCTTCCCAAGAGATTTGCAGGATTTTCCGGAGGCAGCGCTGATGGAAACGTTCCAGGAGTTGCATGTGACGTCTGTAGACAGTCCACGTCTCACAGGCATATAGCGGGGTTGGGAGGACAATAGCTTTATAGACAAGCACCTTGGTATCCCTACAGATGTCCCGGTCCTCAAACACTCTCTGCTTCATTTGGGAAAATGCTGCACTTGCAGAGCTCAGGCGGTGTTGTATTTCGGTGTCGATGTTGACTTTGGTGGAGAGGTGGCTGCCAAGGGAAATGGTCCACATTTTCTAATGTGACACCATTAAGCTGTATTACTGGCATTGGAGAGGGATTGGCTGGTGACTGCTGGAACAGCACCTTGGTTTTCTCAATGTTCAGTGACAGGCCGAGCTTCTCATATGCTTCTGCGAAGGTGTTTAGAGTGGCTTGTAGATCTTCTTCTGAATGCGCACAGACAACATTGTCATCAGCATACTGGAGTTCTATAACAGCTGTTGTTGTAACCTTGGTTTTGGCTTTCAGTCTGCTGAGGTTGAATAGCTTGCCATCTGTCCGATAGATGATTTCCACTCCGGTGGGAAGCTTCCCATCAACAAGGTGAAGTATCATAGCAATGAAGATGGAGAATAGAGTTGGGGCAATAACACATCCCTGTTTGACACCTGATTCCACCTTAAATGGGTCACTTTGGGAGCCACTGCTGTCCAAGACTGTTGCCATCATGTCATCATGGAGGAGCTGCAGGATGTTCACACATTTGTCAGGGCACCCAATTTTTTTAGGATGGTCCAGAGAGCACTGCGATTCACTGTGTCGAATGCCTTTGCAAGGTCGATGAATGCCATGTACAGAGGTTGGTTTTGTTCTCTGCATTTTTCTTGGAGCTGTCTTGCAGTGAAGATCATGTCCACGGTTGCTCTGGAGGGGCGGAAGCCGTTCTGGGATTCTGGGAGGGTGTCTTCTGAGAGGGGCAGAAGGCGGTTTGCAAGGATCCTTGCGAGGATTTTCCCAGCGGAGGTTAGAAGGGAGATACCTCGATAGTTTCCGCAGTCTGTTCTTTCCCCTTTTTTGAAGAGGGTGATATTATTTATTTATTTATTTATTTACTCTATTTGTATACCGCATATATCAGCCTGAGGCGGCGACTCAATGCGGTTTACAATAAAAAGCAACACTAAACAATGTATGAGACACACAATACAGACAAACACATAATCATCAACGCCACACTTAGAATCAGATTCCGATCTCAAGATCCTTTTTCCATTCCTTGTCCGATGCCGTCATTATTGAGTTAGTTGCCGAAAGCCTGCTCGTAGAGCCACGTCTTCACCCTCCTCCGAAACACCAGTAACGAAGGGGCCTGCCTGATGTCCACCGGTAACGCATTCCATAGCCGAGGGGCCACCACCGAGAAGGCCCTGTCTCTCGTGCCCGCCAGCCGCACTTGTGACGCCGGCGGAACCGAGAGCAGGGCCTCCCCGGAAGATCTTAACGCTCTTCCCGGTTCGTAGGAGGAGATGCGTTCGGAGAGGTAAGTGGGGCCGGAACCGTGTAGGGCTTTATAGGCTAAAGCCAGCACCTTAAATTGTGCCCGGTAGCGAATTGGCAGCCAGTGGAGCTGGCTCAACAGGGGTGGTGTGCTCCCTGAGTGCCGCTCCCGTTAGCAACCTGGCTGCCGAGCGCTGGACCATCTGAAGCTTCCGGGCAGTCTTCAAGGGCAACCCCACGTAGAGCGCGTTGCAGTAGTCTATATGGGATGTGACAAGAGCGTGGACTACCGTAGCCAAGTCCGACCTCCCAAGATGATGGTGGCGTCCTTGAAATCTGCTGGGATTTTCTCGGTCACCCACACTTTTTCTATGAGCTGGTGGAGTTGGTGTGTCAGCTCAGGTCCTCCCTCTTTAAAGATTTCAGCAGGGATCCCATCTGGTCCGCTGGCTTTGTTATTCTTCTGTTGGCTGATGGCATTGCTGACTTCTTCCAAACTAGGCAGTGCTGCAAGCTCGTCCCTGGTTTGTTGCTGCGGGATTTGTGAGAGGACCTCTTCGGCCACATTGGAGCTGCGGTTCAGGAGGCTTTGGTAGTGTTCTTTCCAACGTAGTGCAATTGAGTTTTGGTCCTTCAGGAGTTTGGTTCCATCTGATGAGCGTAGAGGCTGTATCCCATGGTTTCTTGGTCCATAGATGACCTTTGTGGCTTTGAAGAATCCCTGAACATCATGGGTATCTGCCAGGTGTTGGATTTCTTCAGCCTTCTTTGTCCACCAGATGTTCTTGAGTTCTCTTGTCCTTCTTTGGACCTCAGCTTTTGCACTGGCATAGATCTTTTTCTTAGCAGCACAGTTGATGTCTCTCTGCCATGCTTGGAAGGCTTTCCTTTTCTTGTCAATTAGCTGTTGGATCTCGATGTCATTTTCATCAAACCAGTCTTGATGTTTCTTGGCTTGGTATCCAATAGTTTCTTCGCAGGCTTGGATGATGGAGGTCTTCAGTTTGTTCCAATGTTCCTCAACATTTTCGGGGTGTACTGTAGGTAGATGGTCCTTGAGTGCTGTTTGGAGATGGGCTCGTCTGGAGGGCTCCTGAAGGGCTTGGGTGTTCATTTTGCGCCTTGTCTTCCTTCCTTGGAGTCTGCGCTTGGGAGCGATCTTGAGAGCCATCGAGGATCGAATTAGCCTGTGGTCAGTCCAGCAGTCGTCAGCACCTGTCATGGCTCTTGTGAGGAGCACGTCACGGCGGTCTCTGGCGCGTGTGATTATGTGAGGAGTAATTAAGAATCGAAACAATTTTTCCAATTTTCGTAATTATTTTGTAATTATTTTCGTAATATAATATAATAATATATAATATATAATACAATATATTATAATAATATAATACAATAATATATAATATAATATATATAATATAATATAATAATATATAATATAATAATATTATAATAATATAATAATATATAATATAATATATAATAATAATATACAATAATATAATAATATATAATATAATATATATAATATAATAAATTATAATAATATATAATATAATATATATAATATAATATTATGATATATTGTTACCCAAGCCTACTATCTATCTATATAATAAAAGTGTAATGATATAAATAATAATAATAATAATAATAATAATAATAATAATAATAATAAATATTATTTTGGCTCCCCCTGCCTTACCTCTAAGAGGTGCGTGGAGAAGCCCACCTGCGACATCTCCAGCTCAAAGGAACTGTATTCCCGTGTCCCTGCGCGTCAATGAAAACAAGTAAGAAAGGGGCCCCTTAAGGTCATCTAGCCCAACCCATCTTCTCATAGGGAGTTGGGAAGGGGACTCCCTATGAGACTCCCTATGAGATCATCTAGCCCACCCCATTCTCATCAGAGGTCATCTAGCCCACCCCATTCTCATCAGAGGTCATCTAGCCCACCCCATTCTACCACCTTTCCTTTCTCTAGTGAGAAGGGGTCCACCCAAGATCATCAACAGTGAGAAGGGGACCCTAAAGGTCATCTAGTCCACCCCATTCTCGTTTATTTGGTCAATAGTGTGAAGGGGACCGTCAGAGGTCATCTAGTCCACCCCATTCTCGTCCATCTGGTCAATAGTGGGAAGGGGACCCTCAGTGGTCATGTAGTCCACCCCATTCTCCCATATTTCCTTTCTCTAGTGAGAAGGGGTCCACCCAAGATTATCAACAGTGAGAAGGGGACCCTAAATGTCATCTAGTCCACCCCATTCTCATCTATCTGGTCAATAGTGGGAAGGGGACAACCAGAGGTCATCTAGTCCACCCCATTCTTCCACCTTTCATTTATCTAGTGAGTAGGGGTCCACCAAAAGATAATCAACAGTGGGAAGAGGACCTTAAAGATCCCACTCTCCTCTCCCTAACCACTGATAGTGAGGAGGGGACCCTAAAGGTGATCTAGTCCACCCCATTCTTGTCTATCTGATCAGTTGTGGGAAGGGGACCCCCACAGGTCATCTATCCATCCCACTCTCCTCTCTCTATCCATCAACAGTGAGAAGGGGACCCTAAAGGTCATCTAGTCCACCCCATTCTTGTCTATCTGGTCAGTAGTGGGAAGGGGACCCTCAGAGGTCATCTAGTCCACCCCACTCTTCTCTCTCTAACCATTGATAGTGAGAAGGGGACCCTAAAGGTCATCTAGTCCACCCCATTGTCATCTATCTGGTCAATAGTGGGAAGGGGACCATCAGAGGTCATCTACTCCACCCCATTCTCCCAGCTTTCCTTTCTCTAGTGAGAAGGGGTCCACCAAAGATCATCAACAGTGAGAAGGGGACCCTAAAGGTCATCTAGTCCACCCCATTCTCCCATCTAACAGGAAGGGGACCCCAAAGGTCATCTAGTCCATCCCGTTGTCCCATCTTTCCCTTATCTAGTTGGAAGGGGACCCCTCAGAGGCCACCTGGTCCACCCCATTCTCTTCTATCTCAGACTCAATAGTGGGAAGGGGCTCCCCGGAGGCCATCCCTCCCTCCCTCCCTCGCTCACCCTCTAGGCTGAAGATGCGGTCCCCGAGGGCGTCCACGATGTCGTTGAGGGCGGCCTCGTCGGTGACGTTGAAGAAGAACTTCTCGTCGGGGTCGCTGGCGATGAACTTGATCTCGTCGATGAAGGCGTTGGGGTCCTTCTGCCGCCGGATGTAATGGCCCAGGACCTGCCGGACACGGGGAGATGGACACCGGACACAGGAAGTGGCACCCCCAGCACCGCATTCCCCAGGGAAGTATTCCGGGTCACCCATAAGAGGGAACCCTCCAGAAAGGACTCCGGGGCATTCTAGGTTGCGCTCCCCTGGGATTCACCATTGAGTAGGGTATGATCACTTATATATATATGTGTGTGTATGTGTGTGTTTATATATGTGTATGTATATATATGTGTGTGTATATGGGTGTGTGTCTATATATTTTGTATGTGTATATATATATATATATATGTGCATATGTATGTGTGTATATATATATATATATGTTTGTGTGCATATATGTGTGTGTGTATATGTGTGCGTATGTGTGTTTGTATGTGTATATATATGTGTGTGTGTATGTAAGTATGTATTTTGTGTGTGTGTATATATGGATGTGTGTCTGTGTGTGTATATATATTTATGTATGTATATTGTATATTTGTGTGTGCATGTATATGTGTATATATATGTGTGTGTATGTATATATATATGTTTGTGTGTATATATGTGTGTGTATATATATACGTGTTTGTATGTGTGTTTGTATGTGTATATATATATGTGTGTGTATGTGTATATATATATATATATGTTTGTGTGTATATATATGTGTGTGTATATATACGTGTTTGTATGTGTGATTGTATGTGTATATATATGTGTGTGTATATGTAAGTATGTATTTTGTGTGTGTGTATATATGGGTGTGTGTCTGTGTGTGTATATATATTTATGTATGTATATTGTATATTTGTGTGTGCATGTATATGTGTATATATATGTGTGTGTATGTATATATATATGTTTGTGTGTATATATGTGTATATATATACGTGTTTGTATGTGTGTTTGTATGTGTATATATATGTGTGTGTGTATGTGTATATATATATATATATATGTTTGTGTGTATATATATGTGTGTGTATATATACGTGTTTGTATGTGTGATTGTATGTGTATATATATGTGTGTGTGTATGTAAGTATGTATTTTGTGTGTGTGTATATATGGGTGTGTGTCTGTGTGTGTATATATATTTATGTATGTATATTGTATATTTGTGTGTGCATGTATATGTGTATATATATGTGTGTGTATGTATATATATATGTTTGTGTGTATATATGTGTGTGTATATATATACGTGTTTGTATGTGTATATATATATGTGTGTGTATGTGTATATATATATATGTTTGTGTGTATATATATGTGTATGTATATATACGTGTTTGTATGTGTGTTTGTATGTATGTGTATATATATGTGTGTGTATGTATGTATTTATGTTTGTGTGTATATTTATACGTGTGTGTCTGTGTGTGTATATATGGGTGTGTATATATATTTATGTATGTATATTGTATATATGTGTGTGTATGTATATGTGTGTGTATGTGTGTTTGTATGCGTATATATGTGTGTATGTATATATATATATGTTTGTGTGTATATATGTGTGTATGCATATATATATTTGTATGTATATATATGTGTGTGTACATATATGTGTGTATATATCTATGTATGTATATATGTGTGTATGTATATATGTGTGTGTGTCTGTATGTATATATATATGTTTGTGTGTAGGTATATATATGTGTGTATATATAAACAATTGAATATAATATGCACGTAATGCCTATTATTATGTATATATTATTATTATTGGGGGCGTGTGCACTCACGGCGATGGCGTATCGGGTGACGTTGCGCTCCTGGCATTCCCGCAGGGCTTCCGGGAGTTCCTCGCTGTCGTGGGATTCCCCGTCCGTGACCACGATCATCAGCCGCGTGGCCCCCTCCCGACCACCACGCTCGGGGCTGAAGGCCTCCGTGCTGCGGGAAGATCATTGAGAGGGGTCCCCAGAGGGCATCTAGTCCAACCCTCTTCTGCTTTCAAGGAAGCCCTCCCGACAGATGGCCATCCATCCTCTGAACCTTAGAATGGGGAGGGTCCCCCGAAGGGCACGTAGCCCACCCCGGCTCCCCTACCAGGCTTTGTGGATGGCGGCCGCGGTCCGGGTCTCGAGACCTTCCTGCCGGCTGATGTTTTTGGCGGCCTCGATGACCTCTCCGGCCGTGCGGAAGTCCTTCAGCGTCCATACGTGGACGGCCTCTTCGCTGTATTGCAGGAGACCCACCTGGAGGCAGAGGAAGACAAGGGCCAAAACCCTATATTATATATACATTACATACAAAAAAAATGTATACATGCAGTACTCATGAGCAGCCACCAGAGAGCAGTGTGGAGCTATTGGCTCATTAAGGATGTATGCATGCCATTCTAGATGCAGCCATCAGATGGCAGTGTATATTATTATTATTATTATTATTATTATTATTATTATTATTATTATTATTAACAAGATGAGTACACAGCAAACAAGATTCCTCTGCTGGTTGTTGTATTGGATCACAAACCCCGATGACGTCTAGACATTTGATGATTCAACATTATTATTATTATTATTATTATTATTATTATTATTATTATTATTATTTCTTCACTGACACAAAAGCACAGTATGTCACAGCAAACGAGATCTATAGGCTGGATTTCGTATATTATTATTATTATTATTATTGTTGTTGTTATTATTATTAGCCATCCTCTGCCACGCATTGCTGTGGCCCAGTCTGTGTCTATGTGTTTTGTGTGTGTATAAATTTCTGTATATATGTGTGTTTGTGTATATATATGTATATATGTAGGTATATATATATCCGTCCCCTGCCACACGTTGTTGTGGTCCACTCTGTGTATATGTGTTTATGTGTGTGCATGTGTATATGTATATATGTGTATATATATATATGTGTGTGTGTGTGTGTGTGGGTGGGTGCATGTGAATATGTGTGTGTATATATATGTGTGTGTGTCTCTGTGAATGTGTATATGTATATATGTGTGTGTACATATATATATGTGTGTGTGTCTCTGTGCATGTGTATATGAATATATATGTGTGTGTACATATATATGTGTGTGTGTGTGTGGATGGGTGGGTGCATGTGTATATGTATATATGTGTGTATATATGTGTATATTTGTGTGTGCTTGTACATATTGTTGTTGTTGGACGGGGTTACACTCCCCCTAAAGGCACAGGTCCGCAGTTTGGGTGTCCTCTTGGATTCCTCGCTTACACTTGAGGCTCAGGTGTCGGCGGTTTCCG